GGGATTACAGGTGACCGCCACCATGCCTGTCTGATTTTTGTATTTTTAGTAGAGATGGGGTTTCACCATCTTGGCCAGGCTAGTCTCAAACTCCTGACCTCATTATCCACCCGCCTCTGCCTCCCAAAGTGCTGGGATTACAAGCGTGAGCCACCATGCTTGGCTGGGGAGTAAAGGATAAAGCAAATGGGACACAGAGAGGGTGAAATAAACAGTAGTTGTTACTATGGGAAGGGGAGACAGAGGGAGTAAGGTGGCAGGAGTGGGTGTGGTGGGGGCCGGAGAGTTTCCTGGGAGCATTTGTGCATCTGTGCCTGGGTGTGCAAAGGGGCAGGCGCAGGTGGCTGTGTCCTCTGTCCTCACTGGGGTGATCGATGGCAGGGCAGGACCGTCCTAGGCCAGCCTGGAGGGGACCATTGTCTTGGCAAATGAGGTTTGGCTTCCCTGCAGGGGCAGCTCCATCTGCTTTTATTGTTTCCGACAGCAGCCTTGGGATTTTCAACCCAACCCAGGCCTCACACCTTAAAAAACCTGTATAGGGGCTTTGGGGGAGTTTGTCAGAGGCCCCACCCATCCAAAGGCCACCAGCTTTCTGCTTCCCTCACCCAGTATTCCCTACTGACCTCCTGAGCTCGAGTCCTACCTCCTGCTAGATTATAGGTACTTGTGGCCCCTCTTCCTGCTCTCTTAGGCAATTTGGGGGTGGGGGGAAGCAAGCCTCAGCCCCCATATTCATCAAACTTCATTATCTTAGTACCTAGACCATTTAGCTCTGGCAGAGGCTGATGTGGAGTGGACAGACTCCTGGAGTCACACCATCCTGGGTGTGGATTCTGGCTCCAGCACTGGAGCTGTGTGACCCTGAGCAAGTCAATTAACCTCTCTGGGCTTCATTTCCACATCTGAAAAATGTGTACATTTGTTTGGGTATCATCTACTGTTCTAGGCCCAGAGCTTTATATGCTTTATTTAACTTGACTCTTTGAAATATATATATATATATGTTTGTTTTGTTTTGTTTTTATTGTTTTTTCTGAGACAGAGTCTCACTCTGTTGCCCAGGCTGGAGTGCAGTGGTGCAATCTCGGCTCACTGAAGCCTCCGCTCACTGCAACCTGTGCCTCCTGGGTTCAAATGATTCTCCTACCTCAGCCTCCTGAGTAGCTGGAATTATAGGCGTGTGCCACACTTCCCAGCTAATTTTTGTAATTTTTTTTTTTAAGTAGAGATGGAGTTTCACCATGTTGGCCAAGCTGGTCTGGAACCCCTGGCCTCCAGTGAGCTAACTGCCTCCGCCTCCCAAAGTGCTGGGATTATAGGTGTGAGCCACTGCACCCGGCCCGAAGTGGATAATATTTTTCAGATGGTAATAGTAACAATGGCTGTGTAGGAACATTAAGACAATGGCCCGAGGGACTTGCCCAAGGTTGCCTAGTAGAGCATGTGATAGAGCTGGGATTCAAACCCGCAGCCATTTGATTCCTTGGACTCATCCTCCCTGCTCCATCGCATTCCTGGCCAAGACTGCTCTTCATGCTGCCATTCAGTAACCAACACCAGTGCAGCTGCTTTGAGTCCCAGGGTAGGTGGCATGAGCTGGGGCCTGACCCAGAGCCTGGTACACCCGAAAACCATTAAGTCCTGCAATGAGCTCCTTCCAGTTGCTGTGGGTTCCAGCAGGAGCCTCATCCCTCATAACCACCCCTTCAACCCCATCCCATCAAGGGAATTCTTGGTTTGGGGCATGGGGCATTGCCAAGCTGGGAGCTGGCAGAGCCTCTACTGGCAAAGATTCAGCCATCTTCCCACAGCCTTCTTCTTCTTGGGGACCATTGACCACAGCGGCTCACCCCTGAGAGGGAAGGCTGGAGTAGGGCAAGCAAAGAGGGCCAGTCAAGCAAGAGAGAGGCAGCTCCAACCCATTGGTCCAGAACAGGGGTGCTGCTATGACCTGCCACCCAGGAACATACCCACACCTCTGAGGGAAGTTCCTGGTCTTCCCAGACTGTGTCGTCAGGGAGGCCAGGATGCAAGTCCCTGCTCCATCACATTCCTGGCCGACACACATGAAGGAACTCCCTCCAGGTCCTGTAGCTGCTAAGTGATCAGCTGGGCTTCACACCCATCTGCATGGCTGGGGTGAGCCACTTCCCTCTCTGGTCTCAGTTTCGACCCCTATAATCAGGCACAGAGACCACCTTCATTTCCCAGAGTTATGCTGGGCCTCAGTATCAGAGGGGTTTCCGGGCAGCTTGCTCGCCCTCCAACCTCCCTAGCCAGAGGGCCAGCTCCGCCCTGGCCCCACCAGCGGGACCCAGCAGAACTCAGCAAGACACTGGGGCTTGCAGTTTTCAGTTCATTCCCGTGCCTTTGACCAGGAATCGCATTCAATATAACAGGTGTGCACAGAGCCCCTACTGCATGCTAGGCACTGGGACCACAAGCAGGAGACCCAGCCCCCACCCAGGGAGGAGCAGACCCCTCCCAGATAGCGATCATGCCGTGCAGTTCACAAGAGACAGGGAGGCAAGGGAGTGCAGGGGGGCTTCCCACAGGAGGGGACATCAGACCTCCTTGGTCAGCAAAGACGGAAGGGCTGAGATCAAACAGGGCAGGGCAGAAAGAGCCGTAGCAAAAGTTCAGAGGAGGGCAGGCCGTGGAGATGGTCAGCTCTCCATCGTGGCTGCAACCTGGGACGGAGAGGGTGCAATGCTGGGAGGCAGGCAGGACAGGGCTAGGCTGGGCTGAGATCTCTGTAGTTAACTGAGTGGCCACAGGGAGCCACTGAGGAGTATGGATTGGGGAGGGGGATGAATTGAATAGTGGGGAGGAAGGTAGCGGAGGGGGCAGGGAGGAGCTGAGCAAGGTCCTGAGCCTCTGAGCTGGCTTTGCTGCAGAAGGCAGGGGGCAGAGATGGTGTGAAGGGCTGGGTTCACCAAAGTAGGGCCTGTCTGCCAGGTAGGATTTCGAGTAGAAGCCTGGATGCGGGATGTCGCAGGGATATCCGGCCGTTCTTGCCTCTAAAGAGAAAGGCTCCAGTTGCCAGCCCGGCTGTGGCTGAAACAAGAACTCAGCCAGAGGAGCCTGGAACCTGCCAGCTGAGAGGTTTCTCTCTTCTGAAGTTGCTCTCATTAAGACACTCAGGCCATGTCACTGCCAGACTCCTGGAGTGGTGTGTCACCTGTTATGACAACCTAGACAGTGGTCAGGGGGCTTGGGCAAGCACACAGCAGGTCCAGGAGCCAGCAAGACAATCCCTTCAGAGGAAAGGAAGTGGCCTGTGAGCTGGTGCCCCTATAAAAGACATCAGGCCAAGACCTAGGTTCAGAATTGCGGGTGAGTCACAGGACGCCTGCTGATTAGCGACCAGCTGTTGGGAACATCAGCACAGCCACACTGATCTCATTTTGAAAAAAAGTGACCTGTGGACCTTGATTGTTTTAGCTGATTTTAAGACAAGCAAAGAGGAGGAGAGAGAGAAAGAGAAGAGTGCTTGCAAGGGTGTGGATGCCTGTATGGGCATGAGGAGGTGACGGTGATAGGAAGTGTTTTGGGGGAAGAGGCTGTGGTTGGGGGATTACTCTGAAGTGCCTCTAAGCCTTGACTTTGAGATCCATTTCTGTGGAGCCCCCTGTCCCCACCCCACCCCAGGTCTGTAGACTCCCCTCCCTTTCCCTCCCCTCCTCCCCTCTCCTCCCCTCCCTTCCTCCACAGGGTGTGTGAATCAGCACCAAGCGGCACCCCACTATTTCCACTCACATCCCTATAGGTAGCGACTAGCACCATCCCTGTTTTGTGATAGGAACGTTGAGGCTCAGGGAGATGCATTCCTTTGTCCAAGATCACTCCCAGAGCCCCCGTGTCCCTGACCCCAGACGCATGGTAGTGAACCGGTTCCAGACGCCGTGTGTCACTGGGCTGGGAGGTGGGCAGCGTGGAGGGAGCACGTCGGGCCGAGAGGATGGCCCAGGGAGCACCCAGCTGAGGAAAGCAAGAAAGACTTGGCGGGAAACCCCAGCCCTCTCTCATCTCATACCCGGGCCCCAAAGGCGGCTGAGATCCTTGGCGAGCAGACGGAGAAAAGCCAAAAGCCGGCGGTGGGGAGAGGGAGGGGCAGAGCGGGAGGCCACAGGCGAAAGACTAGCGCCGTCGGGGGAGCCAGGCTGAGTACCGTCCTGGGCACAGACGGGAGGGCGCGGGGCCACCGGCGGTGCTGGTTCTGGGCGCACTCAGCGTACCCCGGCCACACACCCCAGCCTCCTGGGAGGCCTCGAAAGGGGTGGGAGGGCACGCCCGCCAGCTCTGCCCGGGGCTCAGGGAGTCTTCGAAGGCTTCTTCCAACGGTGGTGGACTGGGGCCCCCAGTCTGAGAGACCACCCGGAGACGAAGAGACAGAGAGACAAAGGGAGACTGGGTCCCGGAGAGAGAATGTTAGTGCCGAGGAGAGTGGGCGCGAGCCGAGACCCCGGAGGGCGGCGAGGGCGCGCGCGAGGCCGAGTGTCAGAGCGTGGAAAAGTGGGCGTCCAGCGGCAGGTGGACGGATGGGGAACCCTGGAGCAGAGCCAGGGGCCGTGGGGAGGCGCGGCAAGGAGCGGAGGCGGCGGAAGGACTGGCGGATGGACGGGTCCGAGGGCTGGGAAGGAGGCAGCATCCTCACCTCCAGCCTCGGGACCCCGCGCACCCCGCCCCTGGGCGCGCCAGGTAGCCCACCTTTGTCCGGGCTCGCAACCAGGTGCGGCGGGAGGGGCGGGGCCAGGGGCGGGCCGAGGCCGTGCCTTACCTGTCCGGCCGGCGGGGAGGGGGCAGAGTGGCTCGGGGCCGAGCGGCCGCTGGAGCCGAGCGCAGCCGAGGGCAAGCGGCGGAACCGGGACGGCGTGGAGAGGTGCGCGGGCAGCCGGAGGATGTGCCCAGGCTGAGAGGGGCTGGAAGGAAGGGGGAGTGGGCGGGCAGGAGGGAAGGGGGCGGGAGCGCGGGGAGGGGACAGAGGAGGGGCGGCGGGTGGCGGGCTCGACTGCCCCCAGCCGAGGGGCAGCCCCGGGCCGGGCCCCGCGCGCTCCCGGCCAGCGCGCCCTCGGCAGCTGCGCTTCGCGTTCTGGGCCAGCTCCCCAGAGGCCTAGGCGCCGCCGCCGCGAGGGCGCGGGGCAGACAAAGGAGGCAGACAAAGGCGGGCGCAGCCCAGCAGCCGTGCGGGCACCGGGCGAGGCGGGCCCACTCCTCCTGGTGCGTAAGAGCCGCCTCGGCGCGGCCCAGGGCGCGTGGGACGGGAGGGGCTCCGGCAGCGGTGGCGCATCTGGAGCGGCCCCGCGGGGGGCGGGCGACAAAGTGCCGCGGCGGGGGGTCCTCGGTGGACCCCAACAATGGAGCGAGGCTGCGTGCTCAGCTGCGGCCGCGTCTGGCCGAGAAGGGGCCCGGGTCCGTAAAAGGATTATTCCGCCTAGACTGTCAAAAGGGACGGAAGAAATGCCCAGGGCTGGGGAGGCGGGACGGGGAACGGCGGGGCCTTTGTAGCCGCAGAAAGTGCGCAGAGTGGGCGGGCGGGGTTCTCCGAGAGGTCGCTCCTGGATGTGGGGGTACAAAGGGTGTTCAAAGTGCTGCCAGCTCACCTGGGGCGCCGACGGCGCACCCGTGCCCCCTTTCCCGATAGGGAAGGAAGAAAGACAACGGCCCCAACACACACACACACACACACACACACACACACACACACACACGCGGCCCGGCTGTCGCCACGCCCCGTCCAAAGCCGGCCTGAAGCTTCTCAGACCGGCCCAACCCGGACAAAGCCAGCGCTGGGGCCGGCTCATCCATCACCGCGCGGGGCGCCGTGTCCTGACGACCCTGGGAGTCCGGGAATGCTGGGTTATGGGTCCCGTGGCTCCCATAACTCACGACGGGGTCGGTGGGGCCACGGACGCTGCAAAGATCAAAGAGCGATAGGGCCGGACTCTCATACGTGGGAAGCAGCGCTCCCACCTGGGGCCCTGCGCTCGCCAGGTGGCTTCCATTTCGACTGTTTTCTTTCTCCAGCGTGTGGCAAATTACGATTTTGAGGTTTTAGAACACAGTTCTGCCGTCAGGCTAAATGTCTGTGTGTTCCTCTTCTGATGCCGTCCCTTGTGGTCTCGGGCCAGTCGCCTAACCTCTGAGCTCATGATTATACCTAAATTTCAGGGTTCCAGGATTGAACGCACTGCCCTGTGTAAGGAGATAACGTTTCTAAGGATGGTCCATAGGAAATGCTCCTGAAAAATTAGCTACCATTGTTACTATGATATTACCAGCCTGGTGGGCACCAGGATGGATTGATGAGAACACTGGCCTGTTTATTCACAGAAAAGTTTGAGTCACCCATCCCATAAATACCGGTTGAACACCTACTATGGGCCAGCACCAGAGGTACGGTAGTAAATACCATGGACAAGAATCCCTGCCCCCATGGAACTCAGATTCTAGTGAAGGAGACAGAAGATAAGTGAATAAATAAAAATAAATGATGTCAGGTGGTGATTAGTGCTATGAAGAAAAGGAGAGCACATTACAGACAAAGCATGAAGGGAAGAGGTGTTTTACATAAAGTTGTTAGGAAAGGCCTCTTTGGTGGGGCAGTTCTTTTGGCAAAGAAAAGAAGGTAATGAGCCACGTGGTTGTGGGGAGAAGACTGTTGAAAGCAGAAGAGCCAGTGCAAAGGTCCTGGGGCAGGAGTGTGCTTGGTGTGTTTGGGGGAGAAGAGTCAGGCTGGAACACAGCGAGGTGACGTCAGATGGGGAGCTGGGGTAGGACCATGTTGTTACAGGAAGGGGTCCCGACCCAGACCTCAGGAGAGGGTTCTTGGATCTCGCACAAGAAAGAATTTAGGGCAAGTCTATAGAGTAAAAAGTTTATTAAGAAAGTAGAGGAATAGCCGGGCGCGGTGGCTCACGCCTGTAATCCCAGCACTTTGGGAGGCCGAGACGGGCGGATCACGAGGTCAGGAGATAGAGACCATCTTGGTTAACACGGTGAAACCCCGTCTCTACTAAAAAAAAAATACAAAAAAACTAGCCGGGCGAGGTGGCAGGCGTCTGTAGTCCCAGCTATTCCGGAGGCTGAGGCAGGAGAATGGCGTGAACCCGGGAGGTGGAGCTTGCAGTGAGCTGAGATCCGGCCACTGCAGACTGAGTCTCACTCTTGTCGCCCAGGCTGGGAGTGCAATGGCGTGATCTCAGCTCACTGCACACCTCCGCCTCCTTGGTGCAAGTGATTCTCCTGCCTCGGCCTCCCAAGTAGCTGGGACTACAGGCATGTGCCCACCACACCTAGCTAATTTTTTGTGTAACTTTTACGTCGACAGGGTTTCGCCATGCTGGCCAGGGGCTGGCTCCCAAGTAATGTGCCCGCCTCGGCCTCCCAAAGTGCTGGGATTACAGGCTTGAGCCCT